CCCACAATCTGAAATAAATCTGAATTTTGAATTTTATTAGTTTCAATTTTCTGCGTAAATTATACAGAAATCCTGCGCTGTCGGGCCTAATACAAGACGTATGTCATAAATTTATTTTCAATTATAAGCTGTTTTTAGTTTTCATGATATCCTTGTGAGGACCCGAAAACACTCGGAACAACGCGAAGTTATAAAGGAGTTCTTTAAAATGATTACATAAGATTGTTGTTGGTATAAAGACGTGGAAATTTCGTGTCCATATAAAGAAATGTTCGATATAACAAGAAAAAACAGAGTAGTTCTCGTATTTAACTCTCAACAACGCCCCGGGGCAATCTACCTCCGAGCAGACTCAGGAGATTATCACCTGCAGGACGGGCACCTTCCACGGAAAGAAGAAAATTTTATTTCACCCAACAACGGTAGATCTTTGATATTGTAAGCATTCTTTTGTAACAATAAATCGGGACCGTAATTATGTAACTGTGAAGTTTGTCTCTGGATAATTCGCTCCCACATACGATCCAGAACTACTCCGTCATTCTGACATTTTAGCACGAATCGGCAATTTAACATCGTCGTTACAACAGATGTAAACTGATGGTCGAGCTGTTAATATGGAAGCTCGCCGCTCGGGCTGCTCCAAACTCGAATCAGGATTGTCGACAAACATCGGGAATTTTTCGGGTATGTCATTCCCGTTCACCACATACTGGCATTTCCACTGTTGGAATGTCAATGTAAAAAAGAATTCCTAGATGTTTACATTTTTGGACTCAGTGGACTTTGAAACGTCGGGAAAAAAGTTCAGGGTTTATTCTGTCGTAAGTATGGATGTTAATGTGTAAGTGTAGTAGGCACGATTTTGTTCTTTTTTTTTGAAGCTTAATATCTTTTGTGTTTTTGTCAGATATTTCTGACACTTTGCAAGGAGGTTTGTTAATTAGGGGGATCGATGCTATTAAATTTTGTTTAATTAAGGTCGAAGGTGTGAGGAGATAATTGGGGTCGTGTGTGTCTCCAGTAGAGTCGGACTTAATGACGATTTTACTCGTTATCAACATTTACAATTTTTTTTTTTTTATAAAACTCGTCCCTACCCTCAAAATTAAACTTTTTTCCACTTTATAATAATAAAATATATAAAACTTTTAAAATAGAATGTGATAACAGATGACGTCACCAAAATTTTAAATGTTACTGGGAAAGTTGAGCAACTCGTGCTAGTTTATTTAATAAAGAAATGTTACAATTCTCTAAACAATAGCGAGCTAGAGGCCGAAGTTTTAAATGCGAAAACGTGTACTTCGGACGTTCAGCGCCGCTTTCCTGTAAGCCTAGAAGTTTTATAATTGTGTTTGGTTCCAAATGCAACATACATGTAGAATTTTTAAAATAAGATATAAATAATATAAAGGTGGAAGGCAATGCGATCATTTTTTTCCTTAACGCCATATTGGTTTCAGGTTACATTAGGTTAAAGTTGTGGGTCAACAGATTTATATGGTGTCTAGCTACATGGAATTTTCCAAATTTTTAATGTGTAGCTTTCTATGAAAAGTTCTCCACGGAAACCTTACCATTGGCAGATTGTCCACGTGTTAAGCTGTCTTATCTCCTCAAAACAAAACACTTTGTGTAAATATATGTGTGTTGTCAAACCTCGGTATAACGCTTTTTAAGTAGTATTACGCTTTAGAACCAAATCCATCTTTCTTGTTTTGTATTTTTAAATAAAGAAATAATAAAGGAAGAAGAAGAATGGACAAAAATTGCTTAATTATAATTGCTATTTATTTGTTTATGCAACAAATTTTAATTTATTCATTTGGATTGAAAAACCAACGTATTTTCATGGAGATTGGCCAGATTTACGAGGAATTTTTCTGTATTTTAGGAGTGTTCCGGTAACGAGTGAGAATGGAAGTGAAATTTTAAAGAATTTTCGATGTCGCATTGCGTATCTCTCGGTCCATTCTTTCGCTTCTTCGTTGCATCTTTCTCTATCGGACTCGTATAATTCGGCCATGTAAAAATTTAAAAGGCCTTCGGTGTTTGCATGACACAGAAGCGAACGGATGGAAAGTAACAATAAAAATTTTATTAAGCACATTCAAAACAACCTGTCTTTTATCACCAAAGGCTTGCTTTTCTTGTGCGTTTTGCCATTACCCTGCCAAAATTTACGAAACATGGCGCAATACTCGACCAACTTTGAATTTGTAAAAATATATCTTAACCGTTATATTTTATTATTATTTTATTAAATAGCTTGTGTACTAGCGAATTAACTGAAACTTTCTCTTATATTTTAGCTGCAATTCTATTATTTATGAGCTATTTAAGACTATAGTAGCGTCTTGTTAATACCTCCATTTCTTGTACAGAAGAGTGTCGAATGACTGAGTGATAAAAGACGTTACCTTAATTCTTTAATTAATTTAATATTCCATATTTACTGTCTATGTTACACTTATTTAAAAAAACAAATAAGAGACAGATATACAGTAAAAGAAATTTAAAATGTAGGGGAACCCGGGGCAGAATGGTGTAGCTAACGAAGAACTTAAAATTATGTCAACAATAAAAGAAAAATAACAAAAATATTACATTATATCCCTTATTTATTATATTTGGCATATAATTATTTAAATTAGATTAAAAAACCTAATAATTTTGAATGAAAAATAAATCATTAAAAAAAAGCTTGCCCACATCCCGTTCCTCCTTGCAAACGGGACATAATGGGGTATGAGATGTGTGCTCAAATATTAGAAAAAAATATTCGTCTTGTTGCTTACATAACTCTCAAACCAGCACGGAATCGTCATCGTCGCTGTCAAAACCCGCACAAGACATATGAGCCCATTTTTTTGCATGCGACACCTGAACACCAACCCTCAATCGACTAGTAAGGCCGGATGGCCGAGCGGTCAAGGTGGCAGCCTACTGCTCTGGGGACCCGGGATCGAATCCAGACAGGTCGAATAATCCCCATAAATTTTTCGGGGATGGTCCGGATATGTCGGGACCCGTCCTTCACCATCTGGTCCCCTCAGTCGACTGTGAGTAAGCCTTGGTGCAGTAAAGGTAAGTCGTATCGTCTTCTCCTTCCGAGTAATCGTTCCCTTGTTCGTCTTTTTTACTAGACTTTGTTTTTTCCCCTTTTCCTTTTCCTTTACGGGAAACCGTCCCATTGTGCTTCACCAGTTGTGCCCCAAAGCACATGCTTCTAAAAATCAAGTAAAGAAAAAGTTTATGATTACTTTTTGCGTTATTTCATTCTAAAAATACAAACAAACAAATCTTTAATAAACTAGACTATACAAATTTGATTAAATTATAAAATATATCATATACTTTCATTGTTTTAATGTTGATACACTTGTAATTTCATCGAAAAATCACGACACAAGGTTTTATTGGTCAACGACAAAGCGAATCTCGGTAACCGAGTGTTCACACTGATGTGTTGTCGCAGTCTGACAAGTAAGTGTAGAACAGGGAGCGAACCAATTCCCTCACCTCTCTTTCATATGTAAATCGTCTTTCCCACTCAGCCCCGGTACCCCATTCTGCCCCGGGTTTCCCTAATACGGCACAATTGAAATGTTGCTTCTATTCAGTGTAGTCACTTCGAGAAATGACATAAATTTTTATATACTTTAATGAAGATGCTCGTCGACGTTAAGAGATTTTATTTAAAAATAACTTATATATTATTAATACAAAAAAATAAAATTGTAGGCGCCATCTGTTAAGATATTTTATCATAAAATCTTTCTATATTTTTAATTATTATAAAATGACTAGAAACTTAATTTTCAGGGACCTTAGATATAGCGTTCTTGGTGGCAACGACGGGTACTATCGACCGCCATTTTATTTTAAGTCAAAACATTGAGATCTGTACCAGGCGTTTGTCAGGATTTTCTCTTAAGAATCTATTTTTCTCATCTAAATCTGGATTGTTTTGTTTGACTCTAGATTTAAGATTTAAGTAATTAGATAAGTGATACAAATCTTGATTGTTTCATCTCTAATTTAGCTATTTTCTAGATTTTGTTTAATTATTATAAAGAAGGCAAGATCAGGGTTTAAACCGATAAATTTTTAATACACTTCAAAACTTAAACCGTATTAAAAATTGAATTAATTAAAGCTATGTACACACTAGGCGTTTTTAAACACCTAGTGTGTACATAGCCTAATAGTATACAATTGGTGTTAAGTTTGTTTTTGCGAGATTGAAGTTTAATCAAATTTATCCCGATGTTTAACATTGTATAATTATTTTATCAAAAAGAATTTTACGTATGTAACTATAGGAATGTCCTCTTTTAATGAAAATTGAAACTAAAGATCATACCAATTTATTTATTGCAGTATAAATTTTCTATCTTTGATTTTATAAAATATATAAAACAAAAAATGTTACTTGTAATTTATATAAAAGTATGAACAGTTTTAAGTGAGTATTTCACAATTTTTGAATTTAACTTAATTGTTAAATTAGTTAAATGTTTGAATAAAAAAAATCTAGCAACGAGAGTTTCGTAACTTTCCCGACTTTTATGAGTTTTTATTTAAATCTTATAATAAAAAAAAACTTTTACATCATTAAGCAAAAAATAAAATTGTGTGTGGTTCCATCTGTTATCAGATTTCTTAATAAAAGCTTTATATACTTTTAATTACTATAAAATGGCAAAACTCTTAATTTTGAGAGTAGGGGTGAGTTTTATAAGAGTGAAAATGTTAATAATGAATAAAATCTTCATTAATTCCTGCTCCTCTTGAGATACACGACCATCCTGTATATCCCCATCCTCTTGATCTTTCACCACAAAAATTTAATAGCATCAATGCCCCTCAAAGACACCATGTCAAAATTTCGTTTCTTAATCTTTACTTCATCCCGAGATATTAAGCGAAATAGACGTCAACACATACACACACTTACTAAAATTAAAATAAAGATTTTAATTATTTAATAGTGGATATTATGTACATTAATAGATTTTAATTTTATTTATAGTAAAATTTCATAAACGAATTTATAATTTAATCATTTATCGGATATCCCGATCGTTATTTTTTCCAAGCCAAAAACTTAGGAGTGGTCCTTTTTGATCTGACGAGTATTTCACGAGACGAACGTGCTTCTGGAGCAGCAAGTTCATTCCTATCTGTCAATGAATCCAAATTGAATCTGCGGGTGCCCAGCAACATTTGAAACCGAAATTCTTCCAAATCTTCATCGTGGTCATCGCGTGTGTCCTCGTTGCCGTATTTTTCCATAAAAGATTTAAAATGGTCGCCGCTAGCTTCTTCGACATTCTTTGCGGTCCGAATATTTTTTAAACCTAGCAATTTTTTCGTTTTATCCACAATAGAATTTTTCCTTTCACTTTTTTCGTCCTCCAACGAAGATCTTCGACCATCTCGTTTGAAGCCGAGCCAATGATTTGGTATGAAAGTCTTATGAGAAATCGCTGACATAGCGATTAGCCATAATTTTATATTGGTTCTGAAATAATAATTTGACGTCACGGCTAGAAATTCTTTTTTTTTTTTTAACTTTTATCTCGTATATACTTACTCGGTTTTCTCTCTTATAATAGTTTTTAACTGGATCCACCACGATTTCAATCCCATTGTAGGAAGTAAACGTGCTGGTTATGGCCGGCGTTAACGATAATTATGCAGTAATAAACGGACTATTGTTAACGAGTTACGAGTATTATTATTAACTATTATTGAATGAAATGAAGTTTAAACCTAGGCTTAACTTGTACCTGTGGAAAACAAAATTAGAATTTTGTACGAATACCAGTGGTACTTTCTTCGCGTTATATGGGAATTCATTGTATTATTAAAATTTTCAATGTTAAATTTCATTGGAAAATTGACGATGATTCACATTTTATCGATAATTTGGGCAATTGTTTGCATGGATATGTTCCGTTCTCCTCTAAGAATTTAGGAGAATCTTATGGAATATATTGCAATCATCATAACATAAAATACAGTAGAGCGTCGTTTATCCGAATCAATTGGGGACTGGAGTTGTTCGGATAATTTTTTTTTCGGATAACCAATTATGTACGAAAAAATATATTAACCTATCCCATGTTGAAATTTTTCTCTGTTGCGTGTCGCTTCGCGCTGAATTTTTGTCGATGTTAAGCCTAACGTAAACTTTTTAAAATAATAATCGTGGCTATTGTATCGTTAAAAATTATTTCTTTATTTTGTACAAACAAAATAAATATATTGAAATATATAAAAACAAAAAAAAAATATACTTTAGAAGTTAATCTAGTATCAAAAACGTTCGATTCAGCACGACACACGGTACTCAGAAAAACACCACACAAAAGTGCCAGTGCTGCCAACTAAAACACACAACAACAAAAAAAATATTGGAGTATCCCAAGATATAGCCAAAGATTGCAGCGCCACAGCACTAGCGAAAATTTAAATTTGCCGACTGGAATTTTCGGATAACCGACGCTCTACTGTATCGTTTATTCATCTTTCATTTCGATGACAACTTTTTCGTTAATATATGCTTCTTTAATAGACGGAAATGTAATTTGACATTTTTTCATAATTTGTCTTCTGCAAATAATATTTGCCAATGCTTTAGTGAATGTGAGATAATAAGATAGACCAGTGATGGGCAAACTTTTTAAAGAGCGGGCCAAAGGAAAAGAAGAAAACTTTAGCCGGGCCAATATAATGGTAACCTAGCGCTGCATCTGAAAATCCAGGTGGCGCTATAAAAACATGTGCAGGCCGTCTGCCATATTTCTTTTTCTCTCTTTCGGCTACGCTACGCACGACGAGTGGATGTTCTGTACCGAAGCATACTTGTAACCGATCGAGCTTTTACTCAATAAGTGTAAAACAAAATTTTGTACATGATTGTAAATAAACTTTCATGGTGAGATATAAAGCTTCGGTTATTTTATATAATCAACGAACACTCAAGTTAAGTGGTGCATCAACCACCACAGCCTGTATTCTTTTTTACTCGTCAGATTAGGAATAATGTCGCGCGGGCCGGATAGAACATTTCAGGGGGCCGCATCTGGCCCGCGGGCCGTAGTTTGCCCATCACTGAGATAGACCATATGCCACAATTATTCCGGTTGCGAACGGGTCTGATGCATAATTTTGACTCTTCCTCTTTGTGGACACTAAGAGACTTTTTAGCCTTCAAAACTTTAATAAGTGGGGCCTGTATTTATCAGCTGTGGCCCCTTTCCGATTTTGGTGTCAAAAAAATTATGGTCAACCTCTAAATATGTATATTATTAAATAGTATAGTAAATTCATAATTTTTATAAGAGAATATACCAGAAATGATTTCCTTATAACACACGAAGAAGAAACACTAAAAATTTTTTTTAGTGTTTCTTTAGTGTTACAGTACTTTAATCTTTCATTCTAAAGATCGCTTTGGATTTTGGAAAACTCCAAATCGCCAGCTCATTAGTAAGGTGCAAATCCGCGACGAATATAATTTTATCCGCTCGGCCACTAGTGGGCCTTGTAAGGGACAAATAAATTCTACATGTGTTATAAAGAAAGCATGTGTTGTAACTTCTAATCAGTAATTAAGTACAGTAGACAACCCTTTAACGCTTAGATACGTTCCACGCTAAGCGAATGTTACGTTATATGAATGATTAAATACATGAGCCAATCGCAGCCCGATAGGTGGGAACTTTACGGACTAAGGCTGTTCGAAAGGTTTTCTTATATAAAATTAACCGATTCTAGACTAATTCCACTCAACATTTCCAAAACACGTATAATTTTTTGGGAGTAATCCGTACAAACTATGCTATAAACAAAAAATTATAGGATTACTTACCGAGTTTGTACCGTTCGACTACGCCGTTGCTTAAAGCTGGTTTTCGTTGCGGAACAGCACATGAAACTGCGGCCGCGATTTCTAATAAATAATTTTTCGCATAAAAATAACTTGACCTTTGGAGACATCATTAATATAAATAATTTTTATGGCCGTTGAATAAGAAGTGTTTCTTTCACAAGAAATGTATAAAATTAGTGCTGTATTAGACTTACGGTACCTAATTTACATACTGTGCAGACGATAACAAACTCAACTTACTAGCTTAAATCTCCGTAGCGTGTTGCCAGGCGGCAGAAAGCATATATATAATTATAATAAACTTACAATAAATTAAGTTAATATATAATTATTTATACAGTACCTAATTTATATATAATTATATGTACAGTACCTAATTTATATATAATACTAAACAGACGATAGCAAACTCAATTTAGCCGCTCCGTAGCGTGGCGCAGGGTCGGAGGAAAGTAGTTCGGCTGCTCATCCACTATTGGTCCAGACTCTATCAATCTTGTCGCGAAACGACGTTATGGGAGGTATGTTATACGACAGTTTCTACAATTTTTTCGCTACGTTATAGGAATTGTCGTTATTGGAACGTACGTTATAGGGGGGGTCGACTGTATATCATTTTGTAACGTAAAGTTCCAAAAGGTTGCCATTAAACCCATTGGTAGTAAACACACTTCTGATTGAAAGTGCATTTAATTTAAACATTTGTAATTGTTGAGTATAATGTATCTATTTCCATAACATTAGATGTACAGTATATTTTTGATCCTCGTCGGGGAGAAAATCAATTGCAATTTTCATAAATAATGACAGTTATTACTTTCCCGACTGTTATATATAACACAGGAAAAGTATGGAGACGGGTCAAAAAATAACCCCCCAGATTTCTACATTTTTTGACTCGGGACAACTCGAAATGTTGAGAAATGCAAAGTAATTCGGGGATAATTTCTGTATGTATGGTTGTGTGGGGAGCACGATTTCGTTCACCCTCTTTCAAGCTTAATAACTCCTGCGCTTTGTGTCGAAATTTCTGAAATTTTGCAGGGAGGTTTATCTATTAGGGGGATCGATCTATTAAATTTTGGTGGTTAAAGATCGAGCATGGAGATAAAGGGAGTCATGGTTATCTCCAGTAGGGTTGGACTTAATGACTATTTTACTCGTTATTAGCACTTACAAGTTTTTATAAAATCCATCCTTACCCTAAAAATTAAGCTTTGTCATTTTATAATAATTAAAAATATAAAAAGTGTTTTAAATAAATATGATAGCAGATGGCGCCACCAAAATTTTAAACGTTTCCGGGAAAGTTGAGCAATTCCTTGTTGATCTATTTAACATTTTAATTTAGAAAAGATTTGCTCGACTTATTCGAAACTAAAAGTTTTTATTTAAACTTTTAATAAAATATTTCTCCGAAATTACAAATACGTGGGAAACGAAATGAAAAAAAAATTATTACATTAACGAGAGATAAACAACAGACACGTCAACAAAACTCGGTAACAACGGAAACAATTATCGAGAAGGAATCGATCGAATGGAATAAAATTATCGTCTATTTAATACTATTTTTTCACCGTTTTGCGAATTTTATAAAATTTATAGAATGGGTAAACAAAATATTGCACTCGAACCCATTAAACGTGTGCTGCTTCGGTATAGAATAAACAGAAAAGTGTAATGTTTATAATTACAAAATCCATGATATTTCTTTCAAAATTCAACAATTCTTATTACACAAATATGAATAACATTTTTGCTTCTTTTTTTATAAAGATAAAACACTGCAATCGAAATATATACGAATCGATCAACGTTAGATATATCCGCATTAAAGGTGCCGGTAAGAAAACGTTTGGAGGAGTGATCAATACACCCAATTGACGGGTACCCACTGCTGCGTGTTGTTGATGTTGTCTAATGCCTTTTCCAGCGTCAGTATCGTTTCTTCGATATCGTTATTGACGATGATCAGGTCGAAGAAATGTCCGTACGCCTGTTTTAGAAGATCGCTCTCTTTTGCCAACCGCTGAAGACTTCCGTCCGTCTGCAAATAAATCAATTCTATATCGTGATACACCCAAATATGAATAGTTCAAAAATTATGAACTGCAAACGAATTATAAGGTTAAAATATAAAGTGTTTGGAATGATTGTAATTTCTGCCGAGTATGGTGTTTCTGCCTGAGGCAAAACTCTTGCCACTTTCTACTTTCATCTGCTTCTAGTGCTGCATTCTTTTATGATCTATTTATAAACAACTTTAATGGTTTTACTGTATTTGGTTGATTATTTTTCCTCTTCCTTTTATCTTTTCTGAATATTTTAATCACTCATTAATTCTTTTTTACTTCTATGTCCTTAATGTTTTACTTTTTGTTTTTATATTGTCTACTTGGACCTTGTTTATAAACAGGACTTACTATATTACACTGGTGTAGTTTCTGATTAGCAAAGAGAGGAAGTCTTAGTGGAAAGATAAAACAAAGTATCTTTATTTTCACCTGTACACTGCTCTTACCCTGTAGTCCTCTTGGCCCACCAGTAGCCAAGTAGTTCCTTTCCCTGAACATTGGGAGTTCGGTTGTGGGTTTGCACCTTGCCAATATGGGTTGGCCACGTGGAGAAAACTCCACATCTGTAACACCTGAATAAGGGGTCTGTTACCCTTAAAACGACCTCTTGGAAGGCATCCCCCTAGGCAGATCAAGTGTTGCATTGCCATAACTTAACAAACAAAACACTGTAGGATCCTCTTCGAGGTTTACAACATTCTATAATAATTGTATAGGTACTGTACAAATGTACTTTGTATGACCCTGTACATTAAATTATTATACAGAATTACAATATAGTACATTATAATTATACAATAATTCATTATTATTTATAGCTCTTTTTACTAAAACTATGTTTGTAATACTTTGGTAAAATAAAAAAAATTATTCAAAAAAATGTAAATATTTATATGACAATTTTAAAAGGACCCAATAATTGACAGACCACCCAATTATTATGAAAAACACTTCTTTTTATTTTACAAATGTAAACTACAACATTACGCTTAATTTTTTAATAGTTTTATCATTTTATACAGGAGTAAAATAGAAAACATTATGATAATTATGTTATGCTCTGTTTTTAAATGCTTTATGTTGGTATTGGTGCTGTATTAATATTGGACTGTAAAAAAAATGTAATTATCATCTTATCTCAGATATTGTTGGATATAATATCATTGTTTAAAAGTTTTTATACAATTGTTATAGAATGTTTAAACTTGCCAAACAGAGACCTACAGGATAAAAAGAATGTACAGGTGAAAATAAAGATACTTTGTTTTACCTTTTGACTAAAGACTTCCTCTCTTTGTTGATCAGAAACTACACCAGTGTAATAAGGTCCAAGCAGACATTATAAAAATAAAAATTTTAATCACTCATTTTGCTATCCCTTTCACTTTACCACTTGAGAAAGTGGCCTTGTCACCTTACCCCTAAATAAAGAATACATCAATCAATTGGTAGTGGCATGCAGTCTTCGAAAAATGTGATTTTTCCTTCTCAAAGGATTCCACTTGAGAATATGTATTTTCCGAGAGCGACTGTGCATTTCGGAAGTCAGTGGGTTAATTGCATGAAAAGTGTTGTTTTATAGATGTGTAGATTCCCTTAGTGTTACTAAAAATAATAATAAAAAGGGAATCCACATGCTTCTGTTATCTACCATGTTGTATAAAACATTGTTGCCAAGTCCTTTAGTTAACTTTAGATAATAACAGACAACATTCAGATATTCTATTGGAGATCCCAAAGTAGTATATTATCAACTTTCAACTTTACTAAAACATATACAATTAAATATCATACTGGAGGTTTACTTGTTACAAGTACAGTAGATCCCCCTATAAGACGGTAGATACGTTCCGTTCTTTATGAATCAATTTTGTAGGAATCATAGTTTACGGACTACGGCTGTTTGAAAGGTTTCTTTCATAAAATTAATCAATTCTAGACTAATTCGACTCAACATTTCCAAAATACGTATATTTTTTTGAAAATAATCCGTATAAACTACGTTATAAACAAAAAATTGTAGGATTGCTTACCGAGTGTGTACCGTTCGACTACGCCCGTTGCTAAAGCTTGGTTTCGTCGCGGAACAGCGCATCAAACCGCGGCCGCGATTTCTGATATTATTTTTCTGCGAAAACTTCGTTGACCTTTGGAGACATCCTTAATATAAATAATTTTTATGGCCGTTAAATAAGAAATGTTTCTTTCACAAGAAATGTATAAAATTACAGTACTGGACAGACGATAGGTCGCCTAACTCGCCGTAGCGTGACGCTAGACGGCGAAAAATATATATTTAATTATAATAAAGTTACAATAAATTAAGTTAATATATAATTATATATACAGTACCTAATTTATATATAATTAATATATAATTATATGTACAGTACCTAATTTATATATAATTTATATAATACTGTCCAGACGATAGAAATCTCTCCGTAGCGTGGCGCTACGGACGGCGGGAAAGTAGTTCGGCTGCCCGATGACGTTTTACGTATTATAGGAGTTATTTTTACCGTTGTTTACGGATACTGCCACAATTTTTATAGGAATCATAACTATAGGAAACGGTTTTATAGGGGGATCTACTGTAATGTTTTATAAAGGCACATTAGTGTAAAGACTGCATGTTTCACTTTCCTTTCTCATATTATTTAATTATAAAGTTGAAAGGGATTATCATATTAAAATTTAAACCACCTAAAATGCTTTTTAAACATCTACATTATTTGGTCAATTCAAAGTTATTTTATAAATATGTTTATATACAGTGTTATTACAAATGAATCATAGGTTTTCAAGCAACTGTAATTTGACAATAATTCAGTATAATTCAGATTTAACAATAAGCAATACATTAAAAGAACTAGAAACTGTCTAGGCTTATGTTGTTGGAGTACAGATGTTCTGTGTGTTCCTTTAATAACACAACACGTGTCCAAGCAGTAGTCCAGTTTGCCCTATATGTTGCAGCAATTCCCTGGATGGTCATCATTGCAGCAGTAATGCATCCTGGAGCTCTGCCAAAGATGTGGGTAATGAAGGCATGTAAACTGTGTCCTTTACATACCCTCATAGAAAAAAATCATGGTGTGAGGTCTGGAGATTAGGAAGCTATCTGTACAGTGCTGTCACTGTTATTACAATGCCCAATCTAGTGATATCGAAGTTTTGTATTCAGATATTGTTGGAATGCATGCTGTATGGTGCCTAGGAATGAGCACTTCTCACACTCCACAACACAAAATACCTTCTAATGCATAATCACCTTTGTGCTGCCATCTGGTGTATTATAAAAAAGTCTTTATACACATATTTCAGATTTGGAGCATTTCTGTTTCGTTTTGTGTCTGGTACAGACAACTCTCCTTGATACTTTGAAAGTTACGGAGTTTTAAAACCTGATGATTAATCTGTAATAACTCTGTTACTGTTTTTTTTTTTTTATTACATTTGCATGTAGAACAGTTATTACAATTGCTATAACAAAATTTTGCAACTTACATCTTGAACATTGGTTAAAGAAGGAGCAGCTATAAACACTACATAAGGAGCGTATTCCGCCGTACGGAGTATCTTTAATGCCTAAACATAAAAATAATAATAACTTTGTTATTAAAAATCATAGAGAATAATAATTTAATTTTAAAAATTATTATGATTATAATGGATTTTCAAATCTATAAATAAGTTCTATTGCTCCATTGAATATTAATATAACCTAACTAAACTTGAGTTGTCAGATTATTTTTTTGTCAAGATAATGATTATTTTTTGAAAATCTGTGGATGATACAAATTGATGCCGGACCATTATCACTAAATCTACTGTAACGTGTGAAGATATAAGACGAAAATTTGACTGAAACAGAAGAAAAATTATTAAAATAAAAAATTTCATATAATCGGTAAGAAGCCATATATAATTTCTGAAAGAATATTTGAAAATTTCTGGATATGATTTACACCAGGCCACTGATTTAAAGACTGCTAAATTCTGCAAAAATTTTTAATTCTGATGTTCTGCTCGATCAAAAAGTCAAATGTCAGCTTTTGGTGAATGGAAACAAGTTTTTATAAAGAATATTAAAAAACTGATTGTTGTTTTTGATCATTATTTTCTTTGATGACAACAAGGATTAATATTTTTTCAAGGGTCTTAATAGTGGAGATTCTCAAAAGAATATTCAGTTTAACTTTTTCTCTGTTAGACTTCACTAAGGAGGAAGAGAAATTTTACTTATTATTCAATAGCTTATGAAAAAATAGAAATTTAAAATGTTCAAAATTTGTATATTTAATGTCATCCTTGCTTATTTATTGTTACATCACTATCAGATTTTATTTTAATTTAAATAAAAGTTTTTAAATTAATTTTTGAAACTATAATGAAAGTAGTGTATTTCATTATTACTTCAAATTAATCATTTATATTATTTTATTTAATAATAATAGAGCACTTTAGTATACGTTGGAGAATATCATTATATTTTGTAGATAATTCTGTCAAATGCAAAACAATCTGCTGGATTTGTTGGGCTATATTAAGGCTAGTTTAATGATTAGAACAAAGTAATTTGACTAGAAGTAAGGAGTTAGGCTGCCATCTTATGGTAAATTTATTTCTAATTGTTAAATTTACCACAAGATGGCCAGCCTAACTGCCTACCTCTGGTCAAATTACTTTTATATCTAATTATTAATCGGATTTGTTGTTATGTATGTAGATTTGTAATTCAAATATTGATAATTCATTCTTGAATAATCAATACCAGGTTGTTCAATAAGTTTTGTCGTTCGATAAGAAAAACACAATTTTATGGTTTGAAATACATTTTATTATTCAATATAATCTCCCTGAACTTCAATACACTTGTTCCAGTGATCTTCTAATTTATGGATTCCATCCCTAAAGTGAGAATCCGGAAGACTGTCGAAATATGCATCCACGGCTGCTATTACCTCTTCGTTCGATGAAAATCGTTTCCCACGCATGAATTTTTTTAGATGTGAGAACAGCCAGAAGTCAGAGGGAGCTAAATCTGGCGAATAGGGAGGATGTTGCAACAATTCGTATTTTAATTTACTGATTTTCGCAATGGTTTTTTGAGCTGTGTGAGAGGGGGCGTTGTCTTGATGAAAAATGATTTTTTTCTTTTTTAAACCAGGTCTTTTCTCACGAATTTTTACATCTAGCTGGTCCAAAAGGTTACAATAATAATCTGAGTTTATTGTTTTACCAGTTTGGAGGTAATCCACAAACAAAATTCCTTTTGCATCCCAAAAAACTGATGCTAACACCTTCTTGGCCGATTTCTGGACCCTAACACGCTTCGGAGCCGAAGTACCGGGTTCACACCACTCTTTAGCCTCTTGTTTTGATTCAGGATCATGGTGGTAGACCCATGTCTCATCCATAGTGATGAAACGACGCACAAAATCCTTTTTATCCTTTCTAAAACGCTCCAAATGTTGCTGAGAAAGTTGCATTCGAATGTGTTTTTGTTCCATAGTTAACGAATGCGGCACCCATTGTGCACACAGCTTTCTGTAACCCAAAACTTCGGCCAAAATATTGCTCACACTGCCTAACGAAATCCCTAGGGCTTCTACTAAATCTCTCTCGGTTAATCGACGATCTTCCAAAACCATATGCTGTATTTTTGCTACGATTTCTGGTGTTGATGCACTTTTTGGACGCCCTTCACGTGGATCGTCTTCAAGACTCGTACGACCACGTTTAAATTCAGCAACCCATCTTTCTACTGTTCTGATTGAAGGTGAAGAGTCCTTATACACTTTTAACAATCGTTCATGAATTTGTTTTGGTGCTACACCTTCCAAAAATAAGAATTTTATCACTGCACGATATTCGATTTTTTCCATCGTAAAAAAATACAATGACACGTCGACTTTGAACAGCTGCAAATATACAATGAGTTGACGGATCTACTTGAAACTTGACACGTGTTTATGAAATAGTAGTACTATTTATAGAATAATAAAGTGACGCTCCTAGTAGCGCCACCTCTTATCGAACGACAAAACTTATTGAACAACCTGGTATTTCAATTTAAATTATTCAACCTTACTCTTAGATCTATCTATTTTTTTCTACTGCATTACAATTGTAAATTATTTTACTCCATTAACTAAGTTTCACTGTTACTTTCTTACATACTTTGGCAATCTTCATAAATTTCATCATTTTTCTCTAAGCACATGACTACATCCAGCACATCAAAACTGATCTGTACAGTGGCCAATTTTACAGAAATCCTGAGAAATATAAGAAATGAGCTTTTAAGTAGCATTTCTTAGAATGTTAATTCTCAGCATTATCTTATATATTGAATGCATTACAAGATTTAATAAGATTAGCAAAGGAACCTCCAAAATTGAAATTTAATACAAGAATAAGGAACTATAACAAAAGAAATTGCTCATTCATATGGTCTTCTGAAATGAATGTTACCATTTTAAATTACTGTAATTATGTTAATTATTATCTATGAAGTATGTGATGTACATCAATTGATAGAGTATCTGTCAGAGTTTCATCTCCATTCAAATGTCTTGTCATCTACTACCTCTAGAATGCATTGTAAACAAAACTGGCAATTCCGCAACAGGAAAAGCAGTCCCTGTTCTATAGCTTGCAACATTAGAATCACTTGTCATTGAGCAAACTGCAGGAGTCACAGAAGGAGTGACAATAAATACACCTTAATAAATGTAAAAAGAATGAGTATCAATTGGATGTGTGTCGTGTGACAAGGTGCATGCATCGAGAAATTGTAATTGGCAAATGTAAAACTTGTTTTCCAATATTTATTTAATGTACGTTACAACATTCTTAGATAACAATTAATATAATTACAATAATTTAAAATGGTAACATTCCTTTTGGAAGACCCTATATTATATACGATTAAAGAGATAGTGACGTTCAACATTTTCTCAAAATGAATTGTAATTTTTAAGTGGTAGCAAATTATTACTACATAAAATTGCAACAAATCAATGTATTAAAATAAAAATTAGATTAAACATATTTATAAAATTGGTTTATAGATGTCAAACATTATTGAAAAATAAATGTTTTGGATCATTTTAAATTAATAAATAGATTGAAATTTAAGTATGGACTGACAGGCTTTTCAATATGTTTTCTGATAGCCCAATCTTAATGAAAAGATACTTGTGAATACTTTCAAATATTTAATCCTTCTCATAGCTTTTAATTTCTTTTTAAAATTCCAATTTGAAATAATTCTGTTTCTGGACTGCTACTGAATAACTAAATATTTCAGTAGCAATCCATTCCAAATAAAAATCAAATATTAAAATGATCAATTATATGTTTTATAAAAGCAATAACAGAACTTTTAAAGTAATTTAACAATTTCTTTAAGCAGTAAGCTAGAAGTAAGTTATATATGTACGAGATAACAAAGTTATAGATGTTAGATGGGATATTACAAATACTTTTCAAAATGTAATTTTTACCACTAATACTGTGAAGGCTCTAAGAATGGTATAAATTAATATTTACAAATGATCAAAACAATAAAGAAATTTCTAAACAAAATATTATTAGAAATATTTTATAATAAAAGGAATTTGAATTGTGTAGGAAACAAGTGAGTGTGCTATGCAATCCAATAAGTATAACCAATGGCCACAGTAAGGCATTGGTCTATCTACCAGGACCCAGGATTGGATCCCAATGGTCAAAATGCCCAGAATTTTTTTTTTGTTTGAGCTATCCATTTCGGATGCATCAAGCCCCATCCCTCGCTACCCGGCCACCCCACTGTGGGCCTGGCCACACCCACGATCTGAATGACTTAAAAAAAAAGGCCCTCTTTAGCACTGCAGGTTAGAAAAAACAAAAAACAGTAAACTATTATTAATCATCATTATATGTTATTTATGTATATAAATAACATATAATGATGATTAATAATAGTAGCTAAAGCTAGAAAGTACCAGGTACACGTAAACCTTATCAAAAAAATAAATACAGAACAAATCATTGTTAAAACAAAGAATCTGAGAAAGAATGAATATTTTCACTTACGGATAGCTAACTGTAATTTAGTGAAAGATTAAAATAGGAAATTATAGAAAATACATACAGTACATCATATGTTTTTTCATAACAAAGTACTTTTCTTTAGNTTTCTTTTTAAAATTCCAATTTGAAATAATTCTGTTTCTGGACTGCTACTGAATAACTAAATATTTCAGTAGCAGTCCATACCAAATAAAAATCAAATATTAAAATGATCAATTTTATGTTTTATAAAAGCAATAACAGAATTTTTAAAGTAATTTAACAATTTGTTTAAGCAGTAAGCTAGAAGTAAGTTATATATGTACGAGATAACAAAGTTATAGATGTTAGATGGGATATTACAAATACTTTTCAAAATGTAATTTTTACCACTAATACTGTGAAGGCTCTAAGAATGGTATAAATTAATATTTACAAATGATCGAAACAATAAAGAAATTTCTAAACAAAATATTATTAAAATTTTTTATAATGAAAGGAATTTGAATTGTGTAGGAAACAAGTGAGTGTGCTATGCAATCCAATAAGTATAACCAATGGCCACAGTAAGGCATTGGTCTATATTCCAGGGACCCGTGATCAAATCCTGATGGTCAAAATGCCCAGAATTTTTTTTTTGTTTGAGCTATCCATTTCGGATGCATCAAGCCCCATCCGTTGCTACCCAGCCGACCCACTGCGGGCCTGGCCACAATCAAAATGGGAATGACTTAAAAAAAAACCCTCTTTAGCACTGCAGGTTAGAAAAAAAGAAAAAAAAACAGTAAAACTATTATTAATAATAGTCTTAAGCTATCAAGTACCAGATACTGTATATGTAAATCTTGTCAAAAAAATAAATACAGAACAAATCATTGTTAAAACAAAGAATATGGGAAAAAGAATAAATATTTTCACTTACGGATAGCTAACTGTAATTTAGTGAAAGATTAAAATAGGAAATTATATAAAATACATACAGTATATCATATGTTTTTTCATAACAAAGTACTTTTCTTTAGCCAAGTCTATAGAAAAACACTACATTGACTACAATGAATCTTTGTATGCATTTCTGTAGTTATGCATCTTCTTTACGGATTTCAACTGTTAAGATTCCAAGGAATACATGAAATAATCTATCACTTAGTTGTGACAAGTTACTTCCAGTTTCTTCATCACTTGATAAACATGTCACCATTATTATAAACAATGTTACGAAAATTATGAATTATATTAATACATATTTCCAATTGGGAAATATAAAAAAAAATATGTATTTAATTTGATACTTGTTTTAAGTCATAACTATGAGTAAACATTATTTTATTATATCATAAAAAACTAGTATTATCAGTTGAAATAATATGTGTATGTACTGTCAAACCTCGATATAACGCTTCGTTAGTAGTATTACACTTTAGAGCCAAATCCCTCTTTCTTGTTTTGTATTTTTAATTAAATTAATAGTCGGAAACGTAATTTTACATTTCTTCACAACTTGTCTTCTGCAAATAATATTTANTTTTTTTTTTGTTTGAGCTATCCATTTCGGATGCATCAAGCCCCATCCCTCGCTACCCGGCCACCCCACTGTGGGCCTGGCCACACCCACGATCTGAATGACTTAAAAAAAAAGGCCCTCTTTAGCACTGCAGGTTAGAAAAAACAAAAAACAGTAAACTATTATTAATCATCATTATATGTTATTTATGTATATAAATAACATATAATGATGATTAATAATAGTAGCTAAAGCTAGAAAGTACCAGGTACACGTAAACCTTATCAAAAAAATAAATACAGAACAAATCATTGTTAAAACAAAGAATCTGAGAAAGAATGAATATTTTCACTTACGGATAGCTAACTGTAATTTAGTGAAAGATTAAAATAGGAAATTATAGAAAATACATACAGTACATCATATGTTTTTTCATAACAAAGTACTTTTCTTTAGCCAGGTCTATAGAAAAACACTATATTGACTACACTGAATCTTTGTATGCATTTCTGTAGTTATGCATCTTCTTTATGGATTTCAACCGTTAAGATTCCAAGGAATACATGAAATAATCTATCACTTAGTTGTGAAAAGTTACTTCCAGTTTCTTCATCATTTGATAAACATGTCACCGTCATTATAAACGATGTTACAAAAGCTTTGCATTCCAGTATTGGAATATAAGGAAATTTGCTTTTGTAGCTGTTAAATGAATGATTCTTTACAGTTAATAGATGCCATAAAAACTGAACACAATTAATTGAAAAGTCATTCTGCCATCTACTGAGAGAAAATAAAATAAAATTCACATTAAGCAAAAAGTGCCAACATTATTAAAGAATGTGCCGATTTGTTTAACTGAAGTGACATCACAGGTGATGTTGCTCTCAAGTCAATTATTTCCATAGACAGACTATAGTAAGAAACAAAATTTGGTTCTAATCATTTTGAAAAGATGGGTTTCTGGGTCATTTTCAAGTTTATTTCCCTTGACACTAAGTGTTTAAATAATAAATAAAAATGAAAGTAATAAAATAATATGTTTTTAAAGAACTTTACATTAACAAAATTACTTTTAAACTGTACTTTAATGTATAATGTTATGAAATTTTAAGTGAAATCTCATTGTAGTTTGGTAATAAACGTGTCTGCAGACCACTGTTTCAATAACACCACTCTAAGAATGTTAAAGAAAAAACTTGAAAAATGATGAATTATATTAATGCATATTTCCAATTGGAAGATAAAAAAAAAATATGTATTTAATTTGATACTTGTTTTAAGTCATAACTATGAGTAAACATTATTTTATTATATCATAAAAAACTAGTACTATCAGTTGAAATATTTAATATTTACATTAACAACTTGGTATTAAATACACCATATACATTTTTTTAAAACATATTAAATATTTCTTACTATGCTTATGAAACTAAACATTCAAGTGAAAGTTTATAATAATGTGTAAAATAGAAACATACAATGCACTACAGAGAAAATTATACATTTTTTATGTTTTGTTTACTTCTTTTCATAAATCAAAACATTTGGACAAACATTTAGTTAGCAGACCACAGTTAAGTATTTTATTTACTACTGTAAAGAAGTAACTGTAAATCAGACCACAATACAAATTCAGAATAAGAGCTGCTATGAGGAATATAAATATGAAGGATTGTTTGTCAGAAAGAATGTGAAATGCAACTGTCAGAATGCAAACTCTCAGTTTAGTTTTGATGCATACAATCAAATTACATACTTTCAATCAAATGACATTTTAATAGTTTATAAATATGTTCAGTTACTCAAATGTGTAAAAATGATAATAAAACAAAAATAATCAAGTCATGTTATTATAATTGTCTTTTTCTTATTGACTAATTCTCACGTTAACTGGTTCATACAAGTAGTTAGGAATAAAATATTCACAAAATACAATAATCTCTCTCTTATGCCAGCATTTATTCATACTTCCTATCCACTTATAATTATGATAGAGTCTGCATTTCAATTCATGTGTTTTTAATAATTACTTAGGTGAACTTTCTTACATTTATTAACAGTTGTACTGAACAATCTACCTCTAGCCAAATCACTTCTTATCCGATTATTAATTAGCCTTAATAAAGCCCAATACAAAATCCAGTAAGTTGTTTGATAGTACAAATGTGTCAAGTTATTATATATGTTATTACCATACCATAATTATTTTGTATGACTGAATATCCTCTTTGCCTAAATCTAAAACACACATTTTTGTTTTTATTGTTGACTATTATTTTTGTGTTTGAATATTGATGTACTTAGAACTAACATAATTAATGAAAGCTGCATTTATTAAAATATACTTCTCATTAAGGAGAATAAACTATTTATACATATTGATGCACTGGTGAATGGTTTAATAATCTTTAACGGGAACATATGGCAACATGATGAGATGGCAGAAACAAACAGTGCAACGTTGGCATTTGCAGACTTAGTTTTCAAAATAAATTTGGGTTAATACGAATGAGTAGTAAAAATGATGTTAATGATATGATCATGTTATATTGCTTCGTTGGAACCTGCCATATCTGTGGCCTGACAAGTGCAATGCACATCAATCACTGCATCAATGATTGGTGCAGTGATCGCTCACTGATCAATAAATATCTGAACATATTTTAGTGCATCTCAATTCACCAATACGCTGTTTGATGAACATTGAAATGCATCCAAAGTGAGAATTCTATCAGATGAAGTAATTGAAAGTTTTTTCCTCTAGATAATAATTTTAATATTTCTAAAGTTCTTATAAATAAACCTACCAAATAATAATAAGTATTATATCCTAATGATTGATTTTGGAAAACATGCTCAGTATATATATTACTTAAATATACACTTAGTAAAATCTTACCTGAGGTTCCACGTCGAGGAGAGCCATTTGTCCATTTGCATGAATTTGTTTAATGGTTTCTAACTTTGTTCCGTACATTGCATCTTCGTGTGTTCCATACTCAAGATATTCATTAGCAGATATATCTGCCATCATTTCTTCGTGAGTAACAAAATAATAGTTCTTTCCATTTTCTTCTCCTTTTCTTGGAGATCTTGTAGTATCTTTAAAATATAAAATTTTAATTTAGTAATAATACTTAAAAAAAAAATAAATGTTAACTCCTTTAATAAATTAATGGTGATAGCCAGCATTATTCAGGTAAATTTTATATTGCACCCTAGACATTGCAATGCGCCTCTTTTTAAATTTTTTCTGCATGCAAAAATACTTAGTATAAAGCAGACTAATGTATGTATGTATGGTGCTTTTAGTTTTTGGGTAAGGTGATACAATTTTATCAAACACTGTCCATCCAAAGGCAACAATGATCAACAAACTTAAAGCTTCCTTGGAAACTTCTCTTGCACATGTCTCTCTAAAGACACATGCAAGCTGGAACTGAAAACCAGCATACAAGTTCATTTACAAAGTGATTTATCTGCGGCCATTTTGCTCAACAACTGCTCACTCTTGGCAATAGAAAAGTATCAATCAATCCAAAAGGTAGATTAGTTGTGACATTACAAAAGCTAGGTATCAGTTTGGAAACTTAACCTAAAAACTGCATAAAAAAGTATAATGTAATGTACATAGATGATTGTTAGCCAATGAAGGTGAATATACCGAGTAAAGAACCATGCACTGCAGTGGCGTACCGTGGGTGTCAGCCGCCCGGGGCAGAGGAATATTTAGGTATTTCAATTTAAAAGACCAAAATTCAGTTTTGTCACAGAACAAGCAATGAAAAATTCGATGGTAGTGCAGCGACCTGTTTAAAATAGTTCTATTGGATATTAGTAATGTATATGAACGCGAATGAATCGTACAAGCAAAAAAAATAAAATAAAAGGCCAACAGGTTTCGCAGGATTTTCTCGGATGAAAAAATTACTAGTTCACCCAGACGGCAAGCCGATTCCCGGACTGTCTGGACGATAGCACTATCGTAGGCGCAATGCAAGTATAGATTAGAACGTTTCAAATTTTTACAAGATATTATTATTATTTTTTGTGAAATTTTGCCGCCCCCTAAAAAGTGCTGCCTGCTGCCCCCACTACGGTACGCCACTGATGCACTGTATATGGTTGAACAAAGTATTTATTTTCGTGGAACAGATACAGGTTCTTAAAAATTCCAACTCAATAACAATAAACAGTAATAGAGAGTCACCAAAAATTATTTTTACATTAAGGTAAAACTCCAGCAAGAAAATGTAAATATCTACTAAAGTAAATGTTTTCCCCCATTTTAAATGGTCATCATCAGGCTAAAGGACTTTCAAAGTTCAAACACAGCTGTTAAAAGAAGAATTTCTTAGTATTGATGATTACCATCCACATGCTAAAGTGGATGATGTAGGAGAGAGGGGGGAAAAGAGCATTATAAAACTAAGCATCATAGAACATCTTCTGTGCAAAAGGAAAGGAGTCTACCTCTTTGAAGTCAATAATTGCATTTTTTTAGCTGATTTGTAAATTTCCGAACATTTAAGCCGTTCTTTGTGGGAGGTGTGATATAATAAGCGGCTTGGTCAAAATACACATCAATGTCAGTGTAGAGAATTCAGCCTGCATTCATGGATTCCCTCCTATCAGTTTGTCATACTGAATTGAAACAGTCAAATATCTTAGCAAAAACCAAACTTTAATCACACTTGATCATGTACAGTAGAAACTCAATCCTATGCAGTTAATGAGATTCTTCTTATCCTCCTTGCCCACTTTCAAACTCCACCACTTCTCCTCTCTTCACTAACTCTACCATCCTCCCACCTCTACTCTGACTCTCCTCCTTCCACTCTCATTCCTCTCTTGTAGTTTTTCCCACTTTTTTCTCCCCTTTCTTCTATGACTATTTGTCTACACTTTTTTAGTTATACTTTCTCCCTTTCTACAACCCTTTCTCTACCCTTGTTTATTACTTTCACAACTGCTTGTAAAGAGATTGGATATGGGCCAACAAGACCGCAGTTGGGGGGAAAGAGTAGGTCGATATCACTACAGTCAAGACAACTGGCATAGAATGCTAACATTGTGGTGGCAAGCACTGTAATGATGGAAATTCAATGGTTTTTGAGGCAAATTTTTGGGCTTTTTGTAGTGCTTAATAAATAAGCAAGATATTTATTATAAAGACTCTTCCAAAAGAATTGCTTTACAGATTTATTTTCTGAAGATTTTCAAGAATCATAATCAATATATATCAATATTAATCAGCACTTTGATGACTCTAGGCATACAAATATCTAAAGTTTCCTTAGCTTGGCAATTGTCTTTTATTCCAGAATCAGTCAATTATTCTGCATCAGTTGTATATATAGATTGTGCACTTATACATTTATCCAAGGGTAGAAGAGCTATATCTTTCCAGCATTATTTAGTTAGTTTAAATTAGGTTATGGACTGCAGCAGCAACATATCTAGGATTTAAAGAATATGAATACGGCTTGAGGCAGATTTAAGAGAAACTGAGGAATGTGTCCCCAGTTTCTCTTAAGCCAGCCTTTCACCAGTTTTATGTCTATGGTCAAAATTCATCATCTAAAAGAGTATTTGAACTGATTCTTTGTTTTCGTTTTGAAATATTTCATACATAATTAATTCTTTCGAAATATTGAAAGCAGGACATTGTGTTTTCGTAAGGTTGGTTGTGGAAGATGGTGTCCACTATTTAGAGGTAAATATAATAGATATCCTATTTGAAGGGACTGGGGATTGTAAAAATGTCCATTAAATAAAAGTATCTGCTATTCAGGTATGTCCATTAATGGAGGTTTTTTATTGTATATTGTAATTAGAACAGATTTTAAGTAAAAAAACATATGTGCTGTTTTTGGTTATTATTGGTTGCAACAGCATGTGTAACAGATGATGTATGTGTATTAGATCAACAAATATCGTTGGTGCTGCAAAGGAGACGAAGAAACCTCGATTATGGCACTTCATAAAATGACTTCCACACTTCCATCTCCACCGTGTGGAAGTACATATTTTAATGAAAAAATTATCATTTTCACTGCTAANCAGACTGATGTATGTATGGTGCTTTTAGTTTTTGGGTAAGGTGATACAATTTTATCAAACACTGTCCATCCAAAGGCAACAATGATCAACAAACTTAAAGCTTACTTGGAAACTTCTCTTGCACATGTCTCTCTAAAGACACATGCAAGCTGGAACTGAAAACCAGCATACAAGTTCATTTACAAAGTGATTTATCTGCAGGCCATTTTGCTCAACAACTACTCACTCTTGGCAATAGAAAAGTATTGATCAATCTGAAAGGTAGATTAGTTGTGACATTACAAAAGCTAGGTATCAGTTTGGAAGCTTACCCTAAGAACTGCATAAAAAAGTGTATTGTAATGTACATAGATGATTGTTAGCCAATGAAAGTGAATATACCGAGTAAAGAGCCATGCACTGCATATGGTTGAACAAAGTATTTGTTTTTGTGGATCAGATACATGTTCTTAAGGATTCCAACTCAATAACAATAAATGATAACAGAGAGTCACTAAAAAATATTGGCGGACAAATGACAAAAATATTGCGACATGTACAGGGAACCGAGCTCAGGTAATGTGCTAACTAATATTTAAAACTAACTTGTACTAAAGAAGAGGAAAGTCAGAAAAGGAAGGAAATAAACAGCGAGATAGATAACAGAAAAGAATAAAATACCCGACATGTACAAATGTTACACACTTTCAGTGGGAGGCCACGTGGAACCCACTTGGACTGATTTCCAGTTGTTGTCTTCTTTTTTCTTTTTTGTTTTTTGATTTGAGACTTGCTGTATTGTCACTTCAATAAGTTCACTAATCCTTCTCAGGCTAGTTCTGTTTCACCAATTTCACTGATCTTGACAACACAAAGCACTATCTTCTCTGTCTTTATTTATGAGGACCAGCCAAAAGATGACCAACTTGCTCCAACATGTGCCCTCAGGTAGCCTTTCCCCTATGTGGTTCCATAAATCAGCTCTCACCACCAAAGGGAATAGAACAAAAATAGAAAATTCTAGAAGTAAGAAGAAATAAAGAACAAAGGAAATATGCTAAAACTATGACTATGCAAAAATTATACAATTGCATACAGCCACAGTAATAATAATAATGTAAAATAACCGTTCAAAATCTCTAGGTATACCTTCACACTTGCTGAAAGCACAATTTTCAGAAGTGCTATATTACTATAAAATTCCACAATTCCATTGATCAAATACATAGGCCACTCTGTTGTAGACAGAAAACTAATTTTTTTTTTGTTATAAAATAGTCATCAATCTTCTCCCAAAAAAAAGGTTAACTTTTGGAAAGTTTTTCTCATACTATCTTCAATTGCATAAAGAACAGAATACAGACTTTCTTCTTTACACATAAGATACTTCATTATCCTCAAGTGTTTGAATTAAAATAAATAGACTATCTTACATAGTACAATAATTTATGAAATTAAATCATTGCAAGACTTAAAATAAATTTCGAACAGTTAAATTTCTATTCTATATACTAATATAGTAAATCCCAAGGGAATTTTTTCCCATTTCAAATTAGAATGCACTTAATCAATTTTATTAATATTTCAGAAACTTTAATATAAAACTTTAAAGGAATTTAATATCTCAAATATCAAAATGTTAAGGTTGATTAAGGTTTCTTTGTTTACACTTGCATTATTTTTAATATAATCAATATAGGTATTTATATTTCAAAACTTACAAATAATTAAGCAAGTTCAATGACAAACTGGGTGTATGTAATTAAGCACTACAAAAAAAAAAACAAAAACTCCAGCAAGAAAACGTAAAGATCTACTAAAGTAAACATTTTCACCCATGTTAAATGGTCATCATCAGGCTAAAGGACCTTCAAAGTTCAAACACAGCTGTTAAGAGAAGAATTTCTTAGTATTGATGATTAGCATCCACATGCTAAAGTGGATGATGTAGAAGAGAGAGGAGTAAGAGAATTGTAAAACTAAGCATCATAGAACATCTTCTGTGCAAAAGGAAAGGAGTCTACATCTTTGAAGTCGATAATTGCATTTTTTTTAGCTGA